TACTACACAATTGCGACAAACATGGGAACAGGCTCTCTGTGTTGGCAACGGATGCATATGGAGTTTTGTTTGATAAGTGTAAATTAAACTACTAATTTTAAGTTTATTTAACAGGATCTCATGGATGCCAGAATATAAGCGTCAACCATGCCCCATTAATTGCATTAATTCTAAAAAATAAATTCTTTCACAGTAAACATAGTCTGCATTAAATGTCAAACTTAACAACCATGCAGGAGACATTGGCTGAAATGATATGCTTATGTAAGCTTTCTGTTCCAGTTGTGTATTACACCATGTCAGAGTGAGCCAGCAAGCATGAAGTCATTCTAAACGACCTTTACAGAATTACAAAAATATTTACTCCGAAAAAAGAACATAATTCAATAGCAAGCATTGCTGTATGTTGTATTGATGGCAGGATGAAGAATATTGAAAAATGTTTTTTCAGACTTTTTTTCTGTGGTCAGTACAGCACACCTGTTCAATAATCAGCCATTATTATGCATTTCTGTTGGAACTTGAACTAACAAGGTGACGTTCAATATTTTTTAAAATAATTTTTTATTGTGCAAGAGGAGAGTACACTTTAATGGATATATATTAACTATCACAGTTTGCAGGCAGGCTCAGCCTGCAAATCTACTTTCCTAGTGTGAGAAAACTTGCATTTTCGAAACTTTGTTTGGACAATATTCCAGTTATTTCTCCAATTATTTTTATTTGTTCGGTAGTTTTCAAACCAGTGTGGCACAATAAAGATTCATTCCTGTTACATTCTTCATCATGTTTTGGCTGATGTTTGGGTACCTGATTACTACTTTGGGAAATTCTGCTGGGAAAGCTGTAGCTACTCTGGAGTAAGAGACGAATGGAAACCCAAACAGCAAGCTACAATAACTCATGCCGTTCGGATAAAAACAGACGAATACCTAGCTACCACTTCAGGGTTCATTACACCTAGTATAAGTGTAAGCCAGGGCCGGCCTGTCTATAGAACGGACTGGGGCAATGGCTCCAGGCGGCACTTTAACAGGGGCAGTATTTTGCCACCCTAGCCATTAGGTGCCAGGGCCGCCTTTGCGGCATATATATGCAGCAGAGGTGCTCTCTAAACCTTGGGGCAAACTAACCAGTCCGAGGACCCGAGAAGAGGAGGGGGCCCGGCAGCTTGCCATGTATGCTGCCGGGTGTGGGCCCCTCCATCTGTCCGCCGAGTGCAGAGCTGCAGACCATGTGATGGAGGGCTAGTGAGCTCCCAAAACATTGCCATGGTTTACTATGGAAACGCTCTAATCAGAGCTTGCGACAACGTGGTCTGCAGCTCACACCCGGCTGGACCACCAGGAAATGGAGCACTGAAAAAAAAAAGGTATGAGTGAGGAGGCTGGTCACAGCCGGCCTAGACCCCCCACACTGTCACCTTCACATCTTGAATCCCAACCAATGTCACCTCCACACTGTTACCCTCACTACTGTCACCCCCACTCTGTCACTGGCACCCTCACATCCTGCCCCCACTGTCATGCCCACACCCTGCCCCAACCACTGTCACCTCACACTGTCACCCTTAAATCCTGCCCCCACCACTGTCACTGTCACCCTCACACCCTGATATCCACCACTGTCACCCTCACACTATCACCCCTACACTGTCACTGGCACCCTCAAATCTTCCCCTCCCCCACTGTCACCCCAACACCCTGCCATCCACCACTGTCACCCTCACGCTGTCACCCTCACATCCTGCCATCTACACTGTCACCCCCACACCTTGCCCCCACCACTGTCACCCCCACACTGTTATTGTCACCCTCACATACTGCCTCCCACCACTGTCACACTCACATCCTGCCCCCCACCACTGTCACCCTCACATCCTCCTACTCGTCACTGTCATCCTCATAACCTGCCCCCCACACTGTCACAACTACTCCCTACCCCCACAGCCTCCCTACACACTTCCCCACACTGTCCCATTCCGACACACTGCCCCCCCCATACAGTCCGCTTCCTACACACTGCCCTCCTATACTGTCACCTTCCTACACACTGTCCAGCCCTTCCAGTTGACAGGTAAGAGGCAAAATGGGGGTAAAACACAATTTCATTTAAACTGCTCAGCCCCCCCCCCCCAGCATTTATCCAACACTACATGCACTACACAGACACTACATCCACTAGACACACTGCATCCACCACAAACACCCTACAGACACTACACACACTGCCTCCACTATACACACACAGACAATTTATTTAATACACACCCTGCATACAATACACAATATCCATGACAAAATAACAGATTCGGCATCCACAACACACAGATGCAGCATCCACGACACACATTTACCACACACACTGCATAACAAAATGGATGTTGGCGTGCTTTTGGTGCTGGGTGGGTGGAAAGGGGGGGCAGCATTTCATCCTTGGACCCAGGCAGCACAATGTCTTGGGCCGGCCTTGGTGTAACTATGAACAATGCTTTTAATACCTTGTGTAAACATGTAAATTATGGCTCTTCTCCTTGTCACTGAAAAAAAAAGTAATAAAGTAATAATAGTTTCTGTGATTTTTTTTTTTACCGTTTTAAGGGGCCAGAGTGTTAGGGTGCATATATGTTTTTATACATTAACATGTCTTAATTTATACAATGTGTAATTATGTTATCCCTTAATTCTGAAATGCAGGTAATGCAGACAGAGATAGATTTTGTTTTTTAACCAGAACATTTAACCTAAAATGCATGGTCAGTCTAACCTGACTTAAACCCTATAACTGCTATCTAGCATGCTTTTTAACATTATTTCATTTTTACTATAATATTTGTAATGTCGGCTGCTTTTCATTATTTGAATTTCAAAGTAGACTATTGATAGCATCTTATTTAAAACAAATGATCTAATGTTTTTTATGGAAAAAGGACATGCTGAAATTATAACAATATATGTATTACAATATTTTTCACTATTCTGCCAATTTTAAGGGAACGGCAACACCAAATTATACTCCAGATGGACATTCATCACACTGATCGATACTTCATTGGTTTAAAATCTAATGTCCTAAGGAAATGCATAAAATATACAAATACATAGAACTAATTATAAACAATACTTGGCAGCAGATGGAAAAATACTTTGGTACTGAAAATGTTACAAATGGAATTTTTTTTTCATGTTGCCATGGTGATCCTTATTCATTTTATTTAATGTCACTGTGTATTTACAGCTGTAAATAAAGTCTTGGCAGTGTTTTTAAAAGCTAGCTTTATGGAAAATTGCAATCCATCTGTAGGTTTGACATCCATCCAGTATTCAAAATGGTACATTTTTACAAATTAACTATACACAAATACATATCGGGGGGAATTTCAATATTCTGTCTTTGAAATAAAGGCATTTTCCTTTTTTCATAATTCAAACAGAATTTTTTATATATTAGGACAGGTGCAGGAAGCACCCACCTTAAAGGAACAGTATAGTCACCTAAATTACTTTAGCTAAATAAAGCAGTTTTAGTGTATAGATCATTCCCCTGCAATTTCACTGCTCAATTCACTGTCATTTAGGAGTTAAATCACTTTGTTTCTGTTTATGCCACACCTTCCCTGGCTTTGATTGACAGAGCCTGCATGAAAAAAAAAACTGGTTTCACTTTCAAACAGATGTAAGTTACCTTAAATAATTGTATCTCAATCTCTAAATTGAACTTTAATCACATACAGGAGGCTCTTGCAGGGTCTAGCAAGCTATTAACATAGCAGGGGATAAGAAAATCTAAATTGCAATAAAGAAAGCCTAAATAGGGCTCTCTTTACAGGAAGTGTTTATGGAAGGCTGTGCAAGTCACATGCAGGGAGGTGTGACTAGGGTTCATAAACAAAGAGATTTAACTCCTAAATGACAGATGATTGAGCTGTGAGGCTGCAGGGGCATGTTCTATACACCAAAACTGCTTTATTAACCTAAAGTTGTTCAGGTGACTATAGTGTCCCTTTAATAACCTAACTGACCATGAAAAATGGTCTTTGGCTCTAGTTTTGCCTATTTTTTATGGTTTGCTGTGTTTTGATAAAAAAAAAAAAAAAAATTTTAAAAAAATAAAGTATGTTTGCAGTGTCAACTCAATCATCAGTAGAGTCCAATATAGACTGTAGGTCTGTGTAATAGAGGAGGTCTTTCTCAACAGGTATTCTTCTGACTGATTTAAAAGCTGTAATGTCAGTATGTGATGCAAAGTTACTACTAATTCACCAATGGATGGTAGAAATTATGTATCATAAAAGCATTTTTGTCAGTAGATTGTTGCACTTATTAAGACAAAATGTATTGTGACACTGATCAGGTACCAATGACAAATGGAACATGTTTTATATGACTGGAACCAGTCCAGTCATCTACTACCTGCTATTTAAAGATTGTGACAATTTGTCGCATTATTAAATCCTGTATTGTGACTAAACCTGCCCCGTAATCATTATAGGTCCTGCTTTCCCTCAATCAGACATCTACAAGATCTATTAGTCTAAGGGCACAAGCTATCTTAATCTGTGCCATTTGGTACTAAACACTGCCTTTCAAGAACTTTGCAGACAAATGATAAAATCTGGAGAGGTTATTTTGTTTCTCTGTTATTGATTCCACCTATCCTTACTCTGCCGCACACAGGAAAAAATGGGAATACAACCTGGAAGTAAACGTAGATGAAATGGAATGGTCCAATATAGGCTTACTATGTACTCTATGACAACATGCACATAAAGAAAGACACAAAACTTTAGTCTATCACGGCGCTGACCGAGATGGCCGCATAGAAGGAGAGCTCCGCTCCACCCGACCCTGATAAGCCCTCATAATAGCTTACCGCACATCCAAATGGGTCGCAACAAACGCCCGGAGCAACCACAGACCCCCAGGAACCTCCAGCAGGGCCCCCTGGACGGGTTTCTTCACCCGCAACCAGGTGCTAGCGGGGAGGGGGGAAGCCCCAAGATGGCGCCGACCACACCGCCGGGGCCGGAAAGCTCCGTCCTAGAAAGGATTGAGGACAGGCTGGGGAGTCTGACGGCTTCTATGGCCACAAAAGATGACCTGAAGTCTCTTACCACAGCCATCCAGGATACCCTAAGAGCTGAAATGGCGGGTATCCGCTCTGAGGTTGCATCTCACGCGGGCCGCATAACAAGCATGGAGGAGGCGGCTGAGGCCCTCACGGCGCGCCAAACGTCCGCGGATACAGCAATAGCCCGCCAAGGTACGCTGCTCCTATCAATGAGAAGACACCTCGAGGACCTGGATAATAGGGGTCGGAGGTGTAATATACGCATCCGGGGAGTGCCTGAAGATGATAGTACGGCTGAAAATGTCGTGGAAATACTTACCGAAATCTTCCAGACAATCCTGCAACCGACATCCCCAGAACATATAGAGTTCGAGCGGGCACATAGAATCACACGACCTAGGTCCCTGGAAGACGGCCCGAGAGATCTCATTTGCTGCCTTCACTCCTTTCCTGTAAAAGACACCATCATGAGGAAGGCCAGGGAAAGACCAACGTGGCCCTATCGAAGTGCGCAAGTGGCCTTATATAATGATTTGTCCCCGATCACGCTGGAAGCCCGGCGGGCTCTCCGTCCCGTGACAGCCGCATTGAGGGACCGCAACATATCATACAAGTGGGGGTTCCCTTTCGCTTTACTGGCCAGGCACCATAACAGCTGGATCTCCATGCGCTGGCCTGAGGATGTCCCGCGGTTCATGGAGGAACTGGGCCTTCCAACACCTGTCGTCCCCAATTGGATCCTGGGATCGACGGCCCCCGTACCGAGACCGCAGAGGTTGCCAAGGCGGAGGGAAGCTCGCTCCCCCTCCGCTCACCCGGCCAGACGGCGCCGAAATCCGGCTTCCCCAGAAGAGTGAGTGTGGATCTTTCAGGCGGACATTGATTTCCCTACGCCCTAATGCAGGTGACCCACCAGTCTAGTTTTGGTCTTATTCCCCCCCCTTTTTTTTTTTTTTTATTACTCTTGAGAACTTTTGTGGAGACGGAGACACCAACCCCCACGGTCTGTTTGGACATTGCTGGGGCTTACGGATAAGGTGAGCCACCTTTTGGGGGGGTCTGGGGGTATTTAAGGGTCCGGGGCACAGGCCCATGGGCGTGCTCCTAATTGCTCTGGCTTCGCCGGGTGACTCTCCATGCGACTACCCCGCTGCCCTCTTCACCTTATAGAAGTTTCATTGCTGGGAACCGGACTTATTTGTTTTGGGGAGGGGGGCTCTTCGGGTAAAGGTGTGGACCATTTTGAGCTTCGAACTGCACACAGAGACTCCTGGTACCCACGTTATTAAGTAACCATAATGATAAATGTCTGTTTTTTTTATTTTTTATTTTAATATTTTTTTTTTTTTTTCTCTTCCTAATCTAACTGTATATATATTAGCATATACTTAAGTATGTGGGATACGGGGTGGGGGGCTTGTGGGGTGGTTTATTGTGCAACTATTGGTATGTTTCTACTTCTCGATTGGATCCTGTGAGATGGGAATACAGCGGGATAGATTAGTGGCTGGACCCCCCCCCACCTCCCGCTCATAGAGAGCTGTACGGCGGTGGCAGTTTTTGGCCCAAGAGAGTCCCTTGACCCACCATATGTGATTTGAGAGGCGTAGGGGGCCAGATGACAGGGGGGTATTATTGGTTGGGGGGTGGGGTGGGAACACCGGGGAATGCTGTTGATATAATGTTGCATCAAGTTTTATTATTGCTGCATGTTTTACCTATGGGACCGTTCTAGCACCCTTTTTCCCTTTTTTTTTTTTCTCATATACTTGGCCCCGTGCTGACCAAACATAGACCCGAGTCACCAACTGACGCTCTAGTGGGAAATGGCAGACTCTTCCCGCCAGACGAGTAGTTAGGGAGGACAACTGTTGACTGACAAAGATATCCCGCAATTAGTCCCCATATGGTCATTATTGAACGTAATGGTATCGCTGCCCCCCCTCCACCCCCCTCACTCCTGCTTCACCGGGACACATACAGCTGAATTTTTGAGATCCAGATAGCAATAGACCGCGAACCTGGGGCGACTCCTCCACCCTGGGGACATATGAGGGACCTGGGGGTTCTGGGACGGGAACAGTAGCTGATGCCTAACCAATCTACCACGCTCCCGAGACAAACTCCAGAGCAACAGAGAGCACCAGACAACTGCAAACTGACCTACTTGGCTCGACACTAGTTGACGGGGGTCGGGTGGGGCTGACGGTTCCACTGTTTGGTTTACCAATTCTCTTGGGCGGAGCCTGACGCGCGCTTCCCACAATACACTCTCGTGCTACGAGTTGGGCAGCCGGGCTGTGGCTGCTCTCGCCCACTGGGCAGGCACCGGGGCGAGGTACCACTAGTACTGGTTGCAGCACGAAACTCACTACTTACATCACTCCATAAGGCACTACACTCGGGATAACCCGACACTAGAGTAGCTGCCCGATACACGGGCTCCAACCTCGTCTCACCACATTGACCCTGGGCGGGCTTCCTCTCCGAGATCCGGAGTCCAAATCTACCTTCCTAGAGCATCTGCCATTATCCTTCCTCTCTTCCCATTTCTCTCTTCCCTCTCCACCTCCTTTACCCTTCCTGCATTAATCTGTGTCAAGGCCGCGTGATCTGACGGTTTCCTCCAGGGACATAGGAAATCTTAACACAGTGGGGATATAAAGGCATACTTGGACCACGCTTTCGGAATGGCGTACCAGAATACACCCCTAAGGGTCCTTACACAAAACTGCAGAGGCCTCAATATACCTGAACGCAGATCACATCTCTTGAGGGAACTGAAGAAAAAACACATATCAGTGGCTATGATTCAAGAAACCCACTTCAAAGAGGGCGCAGCGCCTCCACTAAAAAACAGACACTACCCTGACAACTTTTTCTCCAACCATTCGACGGCTCACAAAGCTGGCACAGCCATCATCCTGGCTGCTGAGCTTGAATTCAAGGAACTTGAACGCGCGCAAGACTCCCAAGGACGATACCTCTTCCTAAAAGGTATCATAGCTGATAAGGTATACACCCTGGCCAGCATTTACGTCCCCAACCGACGGCAAGCACCCTTTCTTCGCAATACGCTCCACATCCTGGAGGACTTCACGGATGGTATCCTGATCGTGGGGGGAGACTTTAATGTGCCCCTGGACCCAATGCTAGATTCCTCGACGGGACATAGCTGCATCCCGCAGAGCAACATACGTTCTATTAGGAGATCACTGGAAGACCTACGATTGGCTGATTGCTGGAGGACACTTAACCCATCGGTGAAGGATTATACCTACTACTCCGCCCTTCACGACCGGTATTCGCGCATAGACTACCTCTTCATCCCACAAGAGGGACTTTCCCGCCTCCTTAGATCCGACATAGACCCAGCTACGTGGTCAGATCACGGCTCGGTTTGGATGGATCTAGAATCCCCCTTGTTCCGACCATCGACCTGGACATGGAGACTCAATGAGGCGCTGCTGCTGGACCCCATTACAAAAGACCAAATACATCAGGAACTGGAACACTACTTCAGGGAAAATGACGTGCCTGACGCATCTCCGATATCCGTGTGGGAGGCCCACAAAAGTGTCATTCGTGGTATATTTATCCGCTTGGCGTCACAAAAACGAAAAGCAACTATGATTGAGATGACCGACTTATATCAGAAGATAACTTCGCTGGAGAGCCAACACAAACGGTCACAACTGACCGGGGTCTACGGGGAACTGATGGAACATAGGAGGAAACTTAAAGACCTCATCACACGAAAACACCTTTGCAGTCTACAACGCACGAAAGGGTTCTACTATGCCCACGCTAATAAGGGGGGGAGATACCTGGCTAGGCTGCTCAAGGGCCCTATGCCCCGCAGACAAATACGACAACTACGACTGGCCTCGGGTGAGGTGACCCCCTTCCCACAGAAGATAGCTGATGAGTTTCGGACCTTCTACCAAAACCTTTATAACTTATACCCTCCCCATCGGACAACGCTCGAAGCAAGCCACGACACACGAATAACAAACTATCTGTCCGACACGATCACTAACGCAATCGGCCAAGACTCGGCGGCCGAGCTCGACACACCGATTAGCACGGAGGAGCTAGCGGCAGCCCTTAAGGTATCCAAATCGGGCAAGGCCCCAGGTCCGGACGGCTTTTCGACTGGTTACTATAAGAGTTTCTCCAATCTCCTTCTACCGTGGCTGACCAAAGCGATCAACGCGGTGGGTGAAGGCGGGAACCTGGGCGCGGAGTCCTTAGCAGCGACCATTACGGTTTTGCTTAAGCCGGGAAAGGACCCACTACTCTGCGGAAGCTATCGCCCAATTTCCTTGTTGAACGTAGACGCCAAGTTATTCACCAAGGTACTTGCAAGCAGACTCAACCACCTCCTACCGGATCTGATTCACGTAGACCAGACTGGCTTCATCCCGGGACGGGAGTCTAGAGATAGCACTCTGCGGCTGTTCTCCGTCCAACAACATGCCAGAGCAACAAAAACCCGGCTACTCCTCTTATCAACTGATGCGGAAAAGGCATTTGATAGAGTCGACTGGACGTACATGAAGGCCACACTACATCGAATGGGATGTGGACATAGGTTCCTCACTTGGATATCAGCTTTATACAGTAAACCACACGTGAATGTGAGAGTAAACGGGTCCACGACGGCCGACTTCGCGATAAGTAATGGCACCCGCCAGGGTTGCCCACTCTCACCACTTCTGTTCGCAATGTCATTGGAACCACTACTCCAGGCGATTCGCTTAAACCCGGACATTCAGGGCTATAACTGGCGAGATACACACCATAAAGTAGCCGCGTACGCTGACGACCTCTTGTTTTTTGTGCAAAGCCCTAGGACAACATTACCCTGCCTGCTCTCGGAATTCGACAAATTTGGTCAAATCTCAGGTTTCAAACTTAACCTCTCAAAATGTGAAGTCTTGAACATCACGATTCCTTCCGAAGAATACGCATCCCTCGACTCACAATTTCCTTTCCGTTGGTGTTATGGTAAAATGAAATACCTGGGAATCTGGGTGGCCACGGCCCCAGACGATATATATCGAATCAACTTTACTCCCCTCATGAAGTCAATCGTCACGGACTTGAATAGATGGTCGTACCCTCACATAACATGGCACGGCAGAGTGGCAGTACTCAAAATGAATATCTTACCGAGAATTCTCTACCTTATGCAGACAATCCCACTGGCCATACCAAGTATCTTCTTTTCCTCTCTGAAAACGGCTATAATCAAATTTGTATGGCGCGGCGATCGCTCCAGAATCCGATATGACATTCTCTGCCGACCAAGAAATCACGGAGGACTCGCACTCCCGGATATCAAGAAATACCATCAAGCCACGATGATGCAACGGATACTGGACTGGCACCAGGACCCCACAACGAAACAATGGGTAGAACTTGACAAAGGCCTACTCGGACCATCACTCGAGATGGAGATATGGGGAGGTGTGAGGGGTCAGGTGTCCAACGAAAATAGAGGGGGCCTGATACGACATACGCTGCTCGGCTGGAGGTCGCTGAGGAACCTGGGCCACATCTCGCCTACCCCCAGCCCCATGATTCCAATCACGCATAATGTGACTTTGGGAGGCGGACTACCATCAGGGGCATGGCCTATCGCGGGCACTAGGGACTATGTCCCCATCTATCAAGTTCTTGAAGGGGGTAGGCTACGGGACCTGACCTCCTTATTGGGGACAGAACCTAGGACCCCTCTCGCGATCCTCAGATACCTTCAATTACAACACTACTATAACTCGTTGCCGCACAATGATCGCCTGCATCGCGACCTCACCTGGTTTGAAGGCCTATGCATCCGGGGCACCCCACT